CCTTCACACCTTCACACCTTCACACCTTCACACCTTCACACCTTCACACCTTCACACCTTCACACCTTCACACCTTCACACCTTCACATCCTCATATCTGTCCTGCCTAGTGCCTGCTGCCTTCCATATTTCCTCCGTGTGTCCAACGACATCAGATTATCACCCCCAGGTCTCGCGTCTGTCCAGCTAACAATATCTCAACCAGTCTCTCAAGACCCTTAACCTCATTTCTCCCGGCGCATATGTTCGGCCTGTCTGTTCCTTCAGCATCCCCGAATTCCTTCACCGCCTCATCGTAGACCCTCGCCATCCTCCTCAGTTTAGCCGTGAGCCCTGTGACCAATCTCTTGGTGGCCATTTTCTTCACCCTCTCAGCATCCGGGATCTCTTGCCCTGACACTTGATACCCGTTCCCACACGGCACGGTGAGGTCCGGTCTCGATCGAAGCTGGTCGATGACCGAGATTGCCTCATGCCAGACCTCGCCCTCCCAGTTGTATTGCCTCGTCAAGGCCGCAATGTGTGCTGACAGCGCATCATAAACCGTGGATTGACCGAGGTCTGCGGTCGTCCACCGCGCAATTTCTTGAGTGAAGACAGGATACTCGACGTCTTCCGCTGTCACCGACAACGATGATAGACGGCTCGGTCTGCGAGCTTTGCAAGCCAGACACGTCTTGTCTTTGGACCAACAAGTCGGTTCATTGCACTTGTTGTCGATCTGCTTTCTGACCCTCTTCTGTCCCTGCTCATCCTTTCGCCAAACGTACTCCGCGTCAAAAGGATACTTCTTCATCATGACCTTCTTCCCGTTGATGTTCACAAGTCTCATGTTTTTAGGGTTGGGTATTGGCATCTCATCTACCTTGTCCTTGACGCATGCCCTCGTATGTTCCATCCTTTTTGCCCATATCACTCGGTACCCGGAGACACCTCTATCTGGTGGTGCGGCGACGTGGACCATTTCCAAGCCCCTTGCAGGCGGTTCTCGTAGTACCAGCATGGTACATTTCTTCTCAAATTCGTATGCCTCCTGATTGCGCTCTAGAGCCTTCTCCAAGGCGGCGGTGGAGGTGGCGTATTGTTTGTTGGCGTTCACCCCGGTCCTATCTGTTTTGGCCGCAACGATGGCTCGTTTGGTGTCCTTTATGGTATGCTCCCAGTATAGTCGGGGCCCGTCTGAGCCGTAGACGGCGGAGAATGAGTCCAGCGTGAGTCGGAATCTGTTGTACGTCCGTTGTCTGAGGGGCCTGGTCGCATGTTGTTGAAGTGGACGTCTTGCCATATCGCTACCGCTGCCGCTGCCGGTGTCGTTGTTATTGTTATTGTTCTTGATATCCTTCGGCGATATATCCGGCTCTGATACTGTCTTGATTGTCTGGACGGCGCCTTTACTGACTGCACCGGATTTTTGTGGTCTCCTCCCAGCGAATAGGGTGATCCATGACTTCGAGGTGGGCCTCGCTTCGGATACGACCATGGTCCCGAATACGTCCGGAGTGGAAGACATGGATTCCTGAGCGTTTGAGGATGGAATTTCCGCAATATCTGAGAAGATGGTATGTGAATGAAAGGTACCGAATGCGCCTTTGCGACGAAGTTGCCTCCGTACCTTGTGAGTGAAGGGAGCTGGGAAGGTAATTGTTCGAGAGAGGCAGATCTTGTGTGAATGCGCGTTTTCATTATCGATTTCCCGAGCAGTGCAGGTCGGTGAGCGAAGGGGGTCCTTTGGTAAGAAGGCAGAAGATTGTGTGAACAAAGAAAGAGAATGTGCAGGCTGAGGGACCTGTTCGCCTCTTGCTGGAGCCTGTTGTCAAACCATGGTACTGGTGCCATGGCCCTCAACACTGACCAACGAGAATGAGGCACTGATGGATCCAGAAGTGTCTTTCGCGAGAAGCAGACAATCTGCGATGAGCTTCTGACGCTCGCCATCATCAAGGTGTTGGGAGGACTCGCTAAGGGTTTGCGGGTCCATGCAGCATCAAGTCTGTCCTACGCTGATGTCGACCTCCGAACACATATGGAGCATGGACAAGAGCACAGGAAGGTGCATTTTTGACGGAAATACAGTCCGCAAAATCGGATGTGTAGATCACAACAATGGAGACACGACGGACACAGAGGCTATACTACTGCTTGCAAGTCAAGAGTATATCAATCCCCATCGAGCTGTTAGACAAGAGGACCGAGAGTAAGACAAAACCCTCTTTTTGCGCAATAATATGTATTCAGTCACATGTCGTGACAGAGCGTATGCACTTTCCAACAAACATAACTTTCGCAGGCTTCCAACAGTGGTGACCTTTACTTTGACTCGCTGTCGGTCTCTGGAGTAAACACTTCGACAGCCACGTTGTCCTTCTCGACCTGCTCCTGCTTCAAAGCCTCCCATCGCTTGGCCACGGCTTCTTGTGCCTTGACCCGGATCTCCTTGCGCTCAGCCTTGGTGTAACCATCGGAATCCTCTCCCTCGCTGTCGTAGATACCCTCCTTCTCTGCCTCCTTCTTTGCCTCCAGCTCTGCCTCCAGCTCCCAAGCGGGTTTCTCTGGCTCGCCGGCCTTGCCATGAGTGACCCACCATGGTTCCCACTCCACCATGGCGTTGAGTCTGTTGATCGCGCCACGAATGGTCATGCAGGTCACGCATCTCTGGTGCTTTTCGTCCCATGGGATCTCGATAATGACGTCGCACCACTCGCCTCCATCGTAGAGATACTCTTTGCAATAGTCGTATTTGTCTTGTTTGCACTCACGGCAGAGCCATTTGAAGCACATTGTGTTGGATGGTCTCGATTTGTCGAGAGATCGACTGTGCCGGCGTTTAAGGTTGAACGTTAGAGTGTCTCTCCGCGCGATGGGAAGGTTCGCAGACTTGCGGAGCTGGAATTAGTCTTGAAAACCGCGTTGCAGTGGGGGATTGCGTTTTGAAAGTGTGGTGGACTGTTGGCAAGTGGCCAAGTACCTTATGATTGCAAAATCTGTCCGCAGGCTGTCGTGTTGTGAAATCGAATGTGGAATATTTCGTGACAGCTGTAAATAGCTGCACAACAATAGCCAGGCGGTGAAGAGAAGCAAGACGCACGTTGTCTAGGGTACGGCAAAGTCGCGAGTCGTGATGGACATATTTATGGTGAAGCCCTGAGGACCATGAGGACCATGAGGACCTTCTGCCACTCTTGTCTCACAGCTTGACAAATCACCGACAACGAAGAAAAAGTTTGGTAGAGTCCACCAACGAGCCGGTAATTGATCGTGATCTGGCCTAACAGAGATTTTCCTGGGAAGAGTCAGACTCTGTGTAAAGAGGGAGAGAAGGTAGGGTTGTGGGACGACATCGTCTCGTGGGACTAAAGTTCGTCCTGGCGATGAACAGCGAAACACAAGTAAATGCAATCATTTCAGTAAGGCCCTTGTCTGTCAGCATATCGAACACGCAATTTTCAGTATAGCCCTGCCACTGACACCATCAACCATGGGAGCCCGTCTTGGTCAGTTGTGACGGAAGAAGGGATCAAGAATCCTTTCATGCCAAAGCTCTACAACCCGTAATCGTACCGTTCTCCATCAGAAAGCAACGACACTGAATACCTTACCATGGTCCCTACGCGGATAGCTCAGCGCGCATGAGACAAAGGATAAATTCCGTAGACTCACGACGCACCAGAAGTTGGAACCTACCGGAGTCAAGGACCGCGCGAATGACAGACTCATCAACGACGTCTTGCGGTCCACACATATTATCATTCCACATGTCGCATTCCGGACACGGACAAACATCGATGAATCTCTGCCATTGAAAGGCTCAATATCAGCTGGGAACTTGAGGAAGAAAGGAAGGAGTGTTTTGACAATCACAGTGCAACGCGTTTCTTGGGCCCCCAACAGAGTGGCGCAGCTCTGTCAGCCACATCAGTGGAACGCCACAGTCTAGGTGTTCAAGCCACACCCCGGGACACCCAACTCGACTTCATATGCGGCGTTTCCTTGTGTGCAACTCATTACAGGTTCAGCATCGACATCGTGTTCGGAGCCCTTCGATTTGAGACTCGCCGAATCATCATACACCAACTTGATACATTCGATGTCAAAGTATTGATCACTGAAGCAGTGAGGCTGACTACCATGGCCGGTATCGAGAACCATTTTACCGTCTTCATCCGGCTACCCTTCAACCGCGGCGAATTCGTCGATCCACCACCAGTAGCATGGTCGGCGGCAAAGGAGAGTGCTTTATGGAACATTATATCTCGTCAAGCCAAAGGAAATGAGATCGATTGGCGCTCACTATCCGAACAATTCGAGGTCAGTCAATCCTTCCTCCTTCAACAAGCCGCATGGCTCTACGAGCGTCAACTATCTCAAGTGCGGGCTCAAATGCGGCGTGTCGGATCCAGACAGTCCGCCACACCATCTCCGGTCCCAGGCTCAGTGTCGGCCAGTATGGTGGGAGGCCAGGCGATGAAGAGAGCCGGTAGCGGCGGGTCACGTGTTCCCTCCAGGCTGTCGACGCAAGCACTGGGAAGCCCTGTCACTACTGGAGGAGACAGTACCCCTGGAACTCCTGCAAAAAGCAGAACTTCACTACCCTTTCGAAGCATATCCGGCCAAGCAGCAGGCCCTTCGCAAGCCAGAGGGCCCCCAGGCACTTCGAGGCCGATTTCACGGCAGTCCTCTAAGGACGACGCACCCACTTCCACGACACAGTCACGAAGAGGAAGTATTCAGCATCAATTAGCTCGGTCCCCAGGCCAGCCGAGAAACCCCCAACCACAGTCCTCCGACTCAGAAGACGATATGACCCAGTCCCGCATCGCCGCTCGCCGTCCCAACCCATCCGCAATTCATCGTCGAGCACTTTCACAGCGCCAATCTCATCGCGGAGCCTCGGCGGCCGAACCAAACCAGCAGCAAGCCCACCAGTCAGATGGAGATGATGATGACGATGAGGACGAACCGTCCTTTCTTCCCTTCGCCAATCCAAGCTCTAATCCCGCAGAACCAAAAGGGCGGAGAGCATCCTCCTCCCAACAAGACCCCAGCGCAACTCTACGAGGCAATGTCAACGTCCAGAGTCAGGGGCAAGCCACCCGCCCAAGCGCCACGCGCCACATCACATCCGAGCGTGTAAGCTCTCCGACGGTCGAACCACCCACGCCCGTGCAACCACGAAAGCAGGACGCGGCTTCATCTACATCCTCACCATCGTCGCCTACAAACCTGTCTCGTCCACCGAGCAACACCAATCCAGCCCAAACCGTCCAGACACAATCCAACGTCCCACGCGTGTCTAACCCGCTATCGCCCCCTCATCGTGCCCTTCTACAGTCCTCGCCACGTCGCGGCCCGGGCTCCGACACGTCGCCGAGCATGGGCTCCTCGTTCTCCGACCTCGACGATGCGAGCGTCACGCAGAGCGCGTTGGAGGAAGCTCTTCTCAGTGGCATGGGAAATACGACGATGACCATGCCTGGTGGAGGTGTCGCTGGTAGAGTCAGCGGCATCAGCCAGGCGTTGAGAAGTCGGTACTTTGACGCCCGAGGGGAAAGCCAGCAGAGAAACGGTGGTGGTGCTGGGGGAGCAGTCAGTGAGCGATGAAAATAACAAAGGTTTGGCGAGGGGCACAATCGTCAGCCTGGAATTCAGAGCTCTACCTGGAACTTGGGAAAGGAAGAATCAGGGTCCTTGACCTAAGCCTACCACGGCGAGAATGCTCCCAAGATGACAGGTATCTAGTCATGCACTTTCTCGTTATCTCTGCGCTTAACTTGAGGTACAATCTTGAAGGTTGAACAGAAGGCCTTTCCAAATTGGAATAATGAGTCAATCTTGATAGCTAAAAGGAAAGATCACGTCTATGTCCAATGCATTCGTTATATCCCGCGGACCCTCATACTTGCCATGTATCCTCCATGCTCCATGCTCTTCTCTTGACCCTTGTCTACCCAGGCTCGCTTTACTCAACGACTTTTTGATCCATACGTCATCATCTCTTCACTCGATACATCTGATCACACCATCTTACCAGCTCTCATCCAAGACGTCTGAAATACCATCGCAAGGCCCCTAATCGATCGATACCTTACAGCTCCCTCTCATGAACATGCCCCCAGCCCCTGACGCCCCGCTTCATATGCTTGTCCACATGTCTAACCACATGCTCGCCGGCGCCCTTCATATAATCGACCATGCGTTTCGCCAGATCTCTCTTCTTGAGCCCGTCATCCACGCTCGTCGTCGGGTTCGTGGCCTCCCAGCTCTTGAACAGATCACACGTGGTGCTCACGGGGCCGGGGATTTCGAGTTTCGCCACCTCGTCGGGCCGTTCGAGGATCATCACGGCCATCCCGGCGCTCAGATGCCAGGCGATGTGACAATGGAACGGCCACATGCCCGGGTTGTCGGCCTCGAATTGCACGACCATGTAGTTGTTTCCGACGCTCGGGTCTGATGCGTTCGCGCCGGACCATGACATGTGTACGTCGCGACGCTGTGGGTTCGCCGCGTTGACGATCGTCCCGTCCCACGTGCCTGTGCCTTCGGCGAGGACCTGGAAATCGTGCCCGTGAAGATGCATCGGGTGCGGCGCGGGCAGGGTGTTGTAGACTACAATCCGGACCGTGCCGTTGGTGCCGACGTTGTACACGTTACTTGTCGGCGCGAAAGTCGTGGCTGATGACGACTGCACGGCATCGAAGAGCAGCGGGGCATCGAGTTGCCCGTTGTACGCGACGTCATTGAATGTCCAGTGGAAGGCGCCGGTTGTGTTGGGCGAGCCGGAGATGGTCAGAGTGATGGTGGTGTCGGGTTCGGCGGCGGGGATGGCGTACATGGGCACCGTGCTCGCCAGCGCGTCGTTCTGACAGTGTGCGTTGACTGGTGGAGGAGTGCCGGTGTCGATGGGCGTGGTTTTCGGGTCGACGCCGGAGTAGTAGATGACGCCACGACCGTCTGGGCCGTTGGAATCGCCGCATTGAGGCTGGTTGTAGGCGCGGAGCCAGTATGACCCTGGGGCGGCGCTGGCTGTGACAAGCACGTCGGTGCGCTGACCAACTCCCAGAGTAATGTACTGTGTCTGGTACGGCTGGACCGGAACGAAGTCATTGGCAATCACGGTAAGAGTGTGGCCGTCGATGGAGATGGTCTCGAAGGCTGAAGCGCCGGTGTTGACGAAGCGGAGGCGGTACGTTTTGCCCTGCTCGAACTCCCATGATGCGTATGCCGGGACGGAACAGGGAGCGCCGTTGGTCACGTTCGCACATGGATATTGGCCAACGCCGGCAACGAGGTTGGAATCAGAGAATGGTCGATATGGGAGGCCAGTGTCTGTGGGTGTCAGGACCAAATCGACCAGATGGTCGTATGTATCGTGGAACCAGTCGGTGACCTGGATGACACCAAGGTCGACGTCGTACTCCACGTAGTCTGCAGGACCGTGGATGACAATTGGGCCTTGCAGCCCGGATGCGTACTGTGCACTGTAGTGCGCATGATACCAAGATGTCTACAAACAACGTCAGCGCATGCATGAAGTAGATTGTGGATTGTCAGGCAGGTCAAAGACGATACAACGTGAGAAACTCGTGGAGCCTCGCGAAAGAGCCATCCACACAAGATCACGCGCAATGTTTTGGTCTTCCGCTGGCCTGACAAGAAACTTGGGGAGAACATCGGAAAGCTGAGATATACTTACACCGTACTCATCTGCCCGGTACCGGTATGTCAAATTGGTGCCAGGAGCAATCGGACACTGTGCCACTGTGACGACGCCATCATAGAACGGTGTTCCAGGCTGATTAAGGCCATGCCAGTGAATAGACGTCAGATCTTCAGGACCTTGAATGGCATTGTGGACATTGACTTCGATCCTATAACCGCTCAGTTATAAACCTGGACAGCCGAGGTCGACACGTACCAGTCGCCTCAATTCGCTTCGATGAGAGGTCCAGGAAATTGTCCATTTACGACAATCATGGACTGCTGTACTCCGTCAGGTGCCAATGTTGCACGAGCAATCGTGAAGTCGTAGTATCTCGTGACGCCTGATGCTTGTTCAGCGTTGTCAACATCCTGGCGCACCAGACGCACCAGTATTTGGCATATCTCTTGAAGGATGTGATCCGGCTGCTGTCTTTCCAGCCCATGGACAATCGCCGTCCTGATCAAAGTCAGCGGAATGGTCGTTTTGGAAGGATATCAGACCATACACCCAGCCATTTTGCGAGAGGATCGGCCAATGCATGGCCAATCAATGCAGTGCCTAAAAGGGCAGAAAATAGCCTTGTCTGCATCTCTAAGGCAGCTGAGAGTGAAACAGTATTGTGTGATGTGTGATCAAGTGCCCGGACGGGCAGTAAAATGCTCCTCTTATACCGTCTCAAGATGCAAAGCTGACAGTCGAGCCGCAGCAACTATTGCAGTTTCACTACCATCTTCAGCACAGTCAGCCTGTATTTTATCACTTGCCCAGCCTTCCGTTCGGGACAAGCAACGGCCATGCAAGCCATCAGAAAATTAAAAGACTCCTATTCGAGGAACAAGCCAGCACACGGGTACGCAAGCCATTCTGGGGTTTCTCCCGACGAGCTGATGTCCCAATGGACCAATGTTTTTTGAACGAAGAACAAACCTAGCAGATAGCACAGCCTAATGCCCTCGCGGGCTGTGAAATTGCGAAAAGCAGAGAGATCCAATCCAGATGAGCGACCATGCTGGATGGCAAAAGCTTGCATCACTTGGCAAGTCAAGGTGGTTAGGTGTACGCAAAATAGATCGAACACATTGCGGTTTCCATAACCGTAGGGAAATGGTAGCACACTGTTGGTGTTTCCGGCAGCAGTGAGTCAGCCGGGGTGGGAGTCTCCTCATCCGTATGCTAGGACAAGCAGGCCGAGGCGATGCTGAAGATAGTCTCAACATGAAGATGTTGAAGGTCCGGTAGGCTGAGGCACCTTGGTAGTAGCAAGTGCAGAGTTGTTACGCCGGGGCTAGAAGCCATATCCGCCGCACCAAACAGGCTGCAGCGCTTGCCTGACCCGTCGGGGTGATGGAAACCGGGGCGAGCGCACATCGAGTTTCGGTGCCCGTTGCTCGCTGAGTCACTGGTAGCTGAACATGTGGTCAACTTTGTAGACGGACCCATGATTGGAAACAGAATGAGTCGCAGACGCAGCTATTTGATGGTCAGCATGCTCGAAACTCTTGGCATCTGATGCTGGTGCCGGGATGGCTTTTCGTATCGAGGTACAGTATTACTCAGAGAAGTGGTGGGTATCCCCGGGTATCCTTTAAGTAAGGTAGAGTGCTTTCGGTCAAGAATAGGTCCGCCGCTTTCTGACTTGGACTTCTGTGGACCTCGAGGGCAAACTGGCAGATGGAGGAAAGCCTGAAAAGATATGGTCTGTAGAAGTCGTTTTCACCAAGTGCTTGGGGCACAAATCGCTTTTAGATCTCAGATTGCTCTGTACAAAAGTGGTATTACAATCAACATCTTCAATTCTCTTCTTCTTGATATCAGACCAACGACCCCTCCCAAAGATCATGCTTGGAACCAGAGGCTTGCAAATAATGCCCTGTAACCCATTTGGATCATTGATTCGCCCAAACAACCTGGCCCTTCTGAGGAGCTCCGTGGCCAACAGCATGCTTTTCGCAATAGCGGCACTTGCGCATCCACCAACATGTCCCTGATGCAGCGATTGGAGGATGATCATGCCCAGTCTTTGGGATGTTTGAGAACGTCCATAAGTTCCTTTTCCTTCTCGTGCTGGCCGTCATCTTCTTCCTCCACGTTTTCTGGGAGCCCAGTACCACAGATTGGATGCATATATTCCCAACGAGCTGTCAATGGCAGACTCATGAGAATACTCTCGACTCTGGCTCCCGGCGTTCGCAGGCCGAAGCTGGTTCCACGGTCGTAGATGAGGTTGAACTCGACGTACCTCCCACGTCGGATTTGTTGCCATTTCTTGTGCTCTGGCAGAAATGGCATGTCCTTTCTCTTCTTGATGATGGGTAGGTAGGAAGGTAGGAAGGATTCTAGACCGGATACGACAAACTGAAAAAGGTCCTCCTGAGGGTTCTTGGAGCTGGGTTGTGAGCTAGCATCCAAATCGTCAAAGAAAATACCACCTATGCCTCTAGACTCTTTTCTGTGTTCGATCTTGAAGTAATCATCGCACCACTTCTTGAATCTGGGGTAGTAGTCTTTGTCATGCTTGTCACACGCAGCCTTGATAGTCTTGTGGAAATGTTTCGCGTCTTCTTCGAACAGATAGCACGGTGTCAAGTCTGTACCTCCTCCAAACCACCAATTTGTTTGTGATGTGCCGGTCGCATTGACAGGGTCTCGGGGATCAGAGGTCTCGAAGTATCGGTAATTGAGGTGGACTGTAGGGGCCATCGGGTTATGTGGGTGTAGAACCAGCGAAATTCCTGCAGCGAAGAAGTTCAGCTTGTCGACGTCTGAGTCGACGAAAGACTTGTGGTCCGCTCGCATCTTCTCGATGGCCGGACGAGGGAGCTCGCCGTACACGATACTGGTATTGACTCCGGCTTTTTCGAACACATTTCCGTCCTGTAGGACGCAGGAGGTACCTCCTCCACCGTGCGGCCTTGTCCATTGATCACGTTTGAACTTCTTACCGTCAATGTTCTCCAGCGCAAACACTATGCGGTTTTGATGTTCTTCAATCAGAGCCTCCATACGCAGTCTCATGGGCGAGTTGCGGGTGATTTTGGTCCTTCTCTTGGTCACCTCGTCCACTTCCGCCAACGAAACTGGCTGCACAGGCGGTGAGTCGTTCGACGCTGTATTGTTGTTGGCCATGGTGTATATCAGAATTCCAAAGGACACGGCACCGACCGATGTTCGCAGGTAGGGTCGCCAGCCAGGTTGACGACTTTGTGGCAATGGAGCTGTAGATAGGCATCTTCGACTCGGTGAGAAGCGGCAACGCGACTGTACAGAGCAGGCATTTCGAAGGGCTCCTGGTCGGAGGTATGAAGCGTTCATAGCTCGCAGTGAGCTCGAGGATGGCTTAGGTACGGACATAGTAATAGAGAGGACCAGACGCCGTACACAGAACGAAGGACTTCTGGAAGAGTGGCTACATATCAAGACATTGAAAAAGCAAGAGGGAATATACAAGCACCAGGGCTCGGGTAATATAGAAAATGTTATTGATATAAGTGCGAGAGAAATCCACGCTCAAAAAACTCCTATTGCTCTTTGCCAGCCGTATTACTATGTACATCGTTCTCCGCAGCGGAGGCATCCGACGCGTGATATATCATACCACGATACTGCCATATGGAGAGTGGAGAGGCATCATGATCAGTGTCAATAATATTTGGGTGGACAAAGGTGGCTTCGGGACAGAGTCCACAGTTGTACCTGTAGAGCTTCCGACCGCAATCGATCTGACGAGCCATGCTGGAGATCGTTGTCCAAGCCTTGTTGGAGTCCTCGGCTGTTAGTGGACAAAGGGCTACGCCATGAGTCAACAAAGGCGTAGGCCACAAAGACACATCACACTTCCTGTTCCTGTGATCTTCCGTCTATGGAGTCACTGAGACCAGGTCATTCAGACATAGTAATAGGCAAGCCTCGTGCTGGAATATCTTCTAGGGTTGCATAGTGATATCAGGCTGCAGTTACGATTCATCTGACAACAGGGTGAAGTGCGAGTGGCTGAGGGTTGAGTGAAGGCGGGGCAACACTGCACTGACCCTGAGATCCTCGCCTCTTACTGGAATTACGCCTAAACTGCCTGCCTGCGCGCCTCATCCATCCCGTCACTCACCGACCAACCTTCCCATTTCACTCCATCTTCCCTACATCCATCCTCAACCAGCTACACTCGAAACACCCACCTATCTCCCCAGATCGACCGACCGACAAAGCCAGGACCTCTCATCTTCCACGATGCGTTCCAAATTCAAAGACGAGCACCCCTTCGAGAAGCGCAAGGCAGAAGCCGAACGTATTCGTCAGAAATACGCCGACCGCATCCCAGTAAGTCTACCTTTGCTCAGTCCTGCTCCCTTCATGACAGTGTCTGACTATTCATCGTAGGTCATCTGCGAAAAGGTCGAGAAATCCGACATTGCTACTATCGACAAGAAGAAGTACCTCGTCCCCGCCGATCTGACCGTCGGTCAATTCGTCTACGTTATCCGCAAGCGCATCAAGCTCAGCCCTGAGAAGGCCATCTTCATCTTCGTTGATGAAGTCCTACCTCCCACAGCCGCTCTCATGAGCAGCATCTACGAAGAGCACAAAGATGAGGATGGTTTCCTATACATCACGTATGTTCATACCCCCCACCAATTACACACGGATCTTTGGCTGACAAATTGGCAGATATTCGGGCGAGAATACCTTCGGTCAATCTTGAGTGAGCAGACATCGTGGAAAGTGTCTTTTGACGCGTTGATGAAGTCAGCTATGGTGTACTCAGCGGAATGGGCAAGACCGACACTTGCTTTCTGCACAATGGCGTTTGGACTACAGCTTTTCTTTCCAGTATCGTGCAACATAAAGCAATCAGAAATCAAGCCAATCGAAGAGGCAGCGAGTCAGAGGCAGAGATGCTTTGAGGTGCTGATGGCCGTTGTGTTCATGCTTGGCCCTTGAAACAGCAGATTCAAATTTTTACATCCTCCTGCGCTTTCAGAGATGTCTCCTGTGCTTTTGCAACTCATGCCCTCATGGAGCGAGGTTGGATTGCCATGATGTCTCTGACTGCAAACTACTTGCTGCCTACTTTCGTGGCCATGTCACCAGACGAACCTCTCAGCCTCAGCCCAGAAGATGAGATACCAGCACATCACTTCATCTCTGAATGTACAGCAGCCGTTCCATAGCTCAAAGCATTGCCAAATCCACGCAGAGACATTTCTAAGCTGACATCAATTCATTTCTGTTGCCTTGTATGTGCTTGTATCCAGTCGCTGTGAGCCCCCATGCCTCCAGCACAGGCACCCATCGAATGACGTCACTGCACTGTTCGCAAATAGATGACAGTGAATGGGTTCAGACATCAACACACTTTCTTTCTCGGACGAGCTATGGCAGGTTTCCTTGTGTGTATTGATAAACTAGCCAGGAGGCCTCTAGCCAGGAGGCCCCTAGCCAGGAAGGCCTCAGTGAATCTGTTTCAGAATTACAAATTCAAATTAGTCTGACCTAATGAGCCGTTAGCTGAGCCTCTCGAAAGCCATGCTAGATTGAAACAGTCGGCCAGAACTACGTAGTATCACTATAGTCGTCCAAAAGATGGAGATTTATTGCTCTAGTCTTGGACAGGACCAACCCCATTTAGTATTGCCTCGCTTTCGAGGTAAAGCGTCGGTTGGTTGAAGTTGCTGATGCGATAACAAGAACCCCCGTACGGAGTAAGCTAACGTTGAAATACAGCCTGCTCTACTGGTCAACAACAGCCAGACAGATCGATCCTAGCTAAGAGGTCGACGTCCTTTTACTATGTAGGGAGTATGCCCTCGAGACGATGGCGGGCCCTTCCAATTATAGGTTGGCTACCAACTACCGCGTCAGGTCAAGAACCTGCATGGGGATTATGTCGCATGATGGACACTGCGAGGCTTTCTTTCTATTCGTCAAGATTTCCATTCTCAAAGAAGACAGGCGTCGGTCCTGTAGAATTGCTTCAACCTGCAGGAAAGCGTGCATAGAATTGTACACAAATCAGCTTACGGCAGAATTCTGCAGTCTCACTTTAATCCTTGATAGCAATCGCAGCAGCATTATCGTACGAGTGGGGAAGAAATAGCGCACCTTGAGACAGACATGAAAGAGAAGTGGCAACGGTCTTACAGCGAATGCCGAAATCATATAAAACCGGTGTGGCAACTAGGTGTCAGCCTTGTGGAAGGATTTTGCCCTGCCTTTGCTTTTTAGAAACAGAAATAGCAGTGTGTGCCATTGGTAAGAGAGAAGGCGTCAAATGCAATAAAGACAAATACCACAGGATGAGGTCGACGGATGGCCGCCTTCAGTTGGCCTGGCAAAGGATAAGCCTCCTGCAAGGAAGAGCTTAGGCGAGCTTCAAGGCATCGGGAGTGTCTTTCATTGGACTGGGCAACGTGAAGTAGAGCACGTCTTTGAGCTTACCTCTAGAATGAGCCAGAGTACAGGAGTATTGATAGAGCATCAGATGGATGAATCGCACCGCACAGGACCAGAACTTCCCCGTCGGATGCTACCGGATTTTAGTGACAGTTGGATGGCCCATTTGACGTGAATAGTGGAGGAAGGGGCCAGCCACAGGCCACGGCCTGCCTAACTGTGCACACCGTGAGTGACGGTGGTAGTTACGGGGTTACCTAAGGTAGGTAGTTGAGCCCAACGGGGCAAATGCTCGTTAAGCCGGTAGAGCCTAGGCAATTTTTCCCACGCTGATGCTTGGCCTGGACGAAGCCCGTGAGCCATCCACGCCGTCCCTACCTGCCATCACCTGCTAAGTTACCTAAGAGAGGATGTGGGAGCCCCTTCTCGGGCAAACAACGTTGCTGACTCAAAATCCATCAGCATTCCCAACGTCAGTCGACTGTATCGTCTGCTCTTCCGAGTGTGCTTCGCCGGTCTCGAGTACAGTACTTCTCATCTGGCAGAAAACTTCTGGGCTGGACGCCTTTCGCCATCATTTCGAACTCGATTGCCGGCTGTGTGACGGTCTTGGCCCCACGTCACGGCTCCTGAAACTTCGCCTCTACAAGACAGACATACAGCCATCGAGTCTCTCTCCCATGGACAACCATGAAGAAGCGCGGACCCGATGGCAATAAAAACACTGCCTTTCTCTTCGTTAACAAAACCCAGAAGTCGAAATCTCTCTCCAAAAGTGATGGCGCTGTCGCTAAAGAGATCAACCGCCATGCGCAACACTTCCGGACTCGGAGGATTGAGGCACAAAGGGTCACTTCGGCCTTGACCAGTTCCTCCTCTGCGCGTCGCATTGCGCTTGATGGCTGGAATCGGAGAGACGGCCTGCAGAGGTGAGTCCCAGTGTGAGATTGACCCTGTGCAGCTTCATTGAGAAGATGGTAGTTCGAGCAGTGATGAATCGTCACCGCAATCATCATCACCTACCGACAATTTGTCAACCATACCGCCCACACCTATACCGGCAACACCTCAGTCTGGTGTTCTACCTGTGGCCGACTTAACACACAACCACCCAGTACAACGTCTATTCGACGGACTTCCTATGTCGCACACCATCACGACCAATGGCTATGAAGACGGCCTTCAGGATAATCGTCCAACGCATTCTGAGGAAGGACAAGTGCTTGAGTTGGCCCCTCAAGTGTATCGTGCTAATTTCACTTCTTACGACTGTGTCGATCCCTTCAAGAGTACGCCTGTGCGTATTACTCCCAAAATCCATACGGTGCTTCAGTACACCTTGCGGATCTATCCATATTCCGGCAACAACTACAAGCTGGCCTTCTTGCCTGCACATGTGCGCACTACCATTACCCAATTTCCTATCGGGGCAGTTGTCCAGCGCAGCGTCTTCAAGGAGCATCATCTGTACTCTTTGATGGCTGCCATGACCGCCCGCTTGAAGCATGTCTTCGCGGTGTCACCAACAGGGGAGGATCCCCAAGAGATACGCGCTGCGGCCTCTCAGTATCTGAAGGAAGAACTGGTGCGCTGTTCGCGCTCTGGTACGGTCGACAAACAGACCATCCTCGACATATTATACCTCGTCGTTAGTGAACTCCAATATGGATTGTACGACGATGCGAGAAAGAATCTACTCATCGTTGACAAGCTATATCATTTGCTCGACTTGGATCAACATTTGGACCGATGGATTTCAGAGACAGCTGCTCATGTGGATAATCAGCTTGCTCTGTCTACAGCAAAGCGACCCATTCTGAAGAGTACTTTTGACCCTGGTCCGATGTTACCCGAGCGGATGGCGGCCCTTAAACGAGCAGCTCACAACTTGAAATACCAAGGTCTTCCCAACCCCACCAGTCTTGTCGTACCTTCTGGGCCCAAGGGTTCATTTGGCCTCACCGATGCAATGGCCGACCTCGCACGTACCCTTGATGTGCGAATGGGTTCGCGTCTTGCTGTGGGCCTGAAAGCAGGAGCATTCCCTGGAAGACTTGGCATGATCGTTTCAGACTTGGTTGACTGTATTGAGATTGCCAAGGTCGTCTGGCTGTCTCCTTTGGCAGTGTGCTTCGATGCAGAATGGCTTTGCAGGAAGGCCAGAGCGATTCTTCGGGCGTTGCTTTCTATAGCTCCGGAGAACAACATCGGACCTGCAAATATCGTCACCAAGTGTACGGAGTGTGCAAGAGTGTGCCTGATGATCTTGATGGCCTACGCTTGTACCTTGATCGGCCCCCAGACAGCGAAACAGAATGTCAAACGACATCTCGAAGCTCAAGCGGCAGCCCTAGAGCACTGGTGCCCTGCCATCGGATGGACGTTGGATTGCTTGCCTGTGGTGCCCGACCAACGCTTGAAACCTTTCTACGAACTGCAAGCCGGCTTTGTGCTTTGGTCTCTCCTTATAGCATGCTGGTCCTCCGATGGTATGCCGGAAGAAGAATGGTGTATGATCCGCGCGGTCAATATGTGTCGGTATTTCGACTATTCGACTTACGAGGACTTGCATGACCATATGGCACAGTATCTGTACTCCAAGACTCTGCAAGAATCCGGGCTACGAAAAGTCGCACGAAGACTTCAGGCCCAAGCGCCGAAACAACGATACTACGTGGTGGCTTGAGAGTGTCAGCATTGTCACCTTCGTTTGTAATACCTCGATCACCAAACCGGCTATAGCGGCAACGGAGAACCTCCGTAAGTTAGTGCCGGAAAGAGACGTTGAGTGCGCCTCCCAATGCCAGAGCGTGGCTCATGGTCCCCCCTGCCCATCAATGTCGATTCCGGGGCGTTTATATTCGCTCACCATTGAGGAAGTGCAGCTAGCTTCCTGCATTTCACCACCAAAGCTTTCCGGACGCGCCTGGAATAGCGAAGCTGTGAAGCCTCACGGCAAGGCTGATGAGAATCGGACAATCATGGCACAAGGAAAAATTGAGCGCTACACCTCGCTCTCTGCAAGCAAGATCTCGCCGCTCCCTTCATAGTAGTCCTTTCTTTGGCCTGCCCCCCCCC